TGCTTTATTATTGCTTTCGTTTCCGGTGATTATTGCTTTCATCGCGCTTCTTTCTCAGTCATCTTCCTTACAGCCTCGGCGCCATTTTGATTTCCTGTCGAGTAAGTTGATAGCTAATCACGGGATTCATTACTCGGTCATGACGCAGGTGATAGTTGGGCGTTTCATTGGATGACGGCTTTATATATATATATATATATATATATATATATATATATATATATATATATATATATATATATATATATGTACACACACACACACACACACACACACACACACATATATATATATCACATAGACGCACGTGGTTACTGGACAGCATGGGTCAGACGGAAGGTGAAGGTTCTCTTGCCTTTTTATTCCTTGTCTTTGTGCACATATATACACATGCGCGCGTGGATGAACACACACACACACACACACACACACACACACACACATATATATCATATTATATATATATATATAGAAAGATTGATGGATAGCTATTGATATAAATTATATATATATATATATATATATTTATATACATATATATATACATATAATATACACACACACAAACAATATATATATATATATATATATATATATATATGAATATATATATATATATATATATATATATATATATATATATATATATATATAACCGTCGTCACAATATATATGTATGTATATATGTTTATATGTCGCTCATTTATTTCAACAGTGACATAACTCAAAAATTGAAGATTTTGAGTTAGTTATATCACTGAATTTGTCATTTTCTATATTTATTTGTGGTAAGAACGCCATAACTCTAGTATCAAAATTGTCCATTATATGTCGCTCAAGGCATAGTGACTCATTTTCTTTCAGACGAATCGTTTAGTTGGCATAGCGTTTTATTTCAGTTAAGTGTATTTTATTATATTTGATGTCATGCACTACATTGAATCCTGAAATAAAACTTCATTGCTAAATACCTCTTTTAAAACTTACATGGAAGACTGTATTACATATTAAAAGTTTATTTTGCTTCTCCTGAAAAGTATCCTTTTTTGAGTTATGTCATTGTTGAAATGAATGAGCGATGTGTATATATATGTATATATATACATACATATATATACATATATATAAACATATATACATATATATATTGTGACGACGGCTTTATACACACACACACATACACACACACACACACACACACACACACACACACACACACACACATATATATATATTGTTTGTGTGTGTGTATGGGTTATATATATATTATATGTATATATATGTATATAAATATACATATATATTAAATCTACATCAACAGCTATCCATCTATATATAATATATATATATGTTCATCCACGCGCGCATGTGTATATATGTGCACAAAGACAAGGGATAAAAAGGCAAGAGAACCTTCACCTTCCGTCTGACCCATGCTGCCCATTAACCACGTGCGTCTGTGTGATTTACATTTTCTGCTTCACCACAGAGCGTCCCTCACTAACTTCCTTGCCCGTGCCATTCGGAGTGAAATAGCAAGGTCTTCTACATTAGGAAAACTGAGTCACTTAACTTCTCCAGTGATGTGTGTATTTTACTTCTGTCGTATCAAGAAATAGACTACCAATTAGCGAGGGGGGTGGGGTGGGATGGGGGGGAGATACTGTTATTCATATTATGTCCCTTTGTAAACTTCCTGATGCTATTTTTTTTTTCTTTTCTTCGTCCTCTTTCATAATACCGTTTATTCTCGTAATGACAGTTCCCTTTGTAATTCGATTCCACAATTGTTCCTTGTATGAATGAATAAAAAAAAAAAAAAAAAATAGGTACTGGTTCACAATACGAATTCCACTTTTTACTGTTATGTTACTAAGGCCTTTTTTTTTTACTACTAGTATTGCTGCTTCTGTTGTTATTGTTTTTGGTTATTGCTATTACTACTGATGCTAATAGTTGTTGCTGCTGTAGATACGATCGTTATAGGAAGTAGTTCTATTTATCGTGCTGTTACTGCTGCTACTACTGCTACTACTATTGCATCTATTACTACTACAACTACTACTACTACTATTACTACTACTTCAACAACAACAACAACAACAACAACTACTACTACTACTAGTACTACTACTTCAACAACAACAACAACAACTACTACTACTACTACTATTACTACTACTACTACTACTTCAACAACAACAACTACTACTACTACTACTACTACTATGCACTACTGTATTACTAAAACCACTATCATTGCCACTGCTACCACTACTTTTTCTCCTACTACTATTCAAACAAAGGCTAATTCTATCGCCATGCCTAAGCCACCATTGATTAATTATCCCAAATATGCACATCTCATTATACTTCGTGTTTACTCCTACTTACACTAATATTGTTAATTCTACAACTACTGCTAAAGGTACTTCTACAACTACTGCTAAAGGTACTTCTACTACTACTACCACTGCTATTGCTACTATTGCTATTATAACGACTATTTTTAATATTTTTGCTACTGCTATTACTAAAATACTACTAATATTAATACCAATTCTGTTCCTACTACCACCACTACTATTACTACTGTTTCCTATGCTACTATTGTTATTACTGATTCTACTAAAACTATAACTACTACGAACGGTTACTGATAATTATAGTGATAATTATAATTGTAATAGTAGCAATGAATGGTGATAATAGGACCATTAATTCCAATACAAAACCCACTACTACTATTACTAATATAAAGACTATGGAAATTGGTAAATGAATGGAGAGAGAGAGAGAGAGAGAGAGAGAGAGAGAGAGAGAGAGAGAGAGAGAGAGAGAGAGAGAGAGAGAGAGAGTGAGAGTCAGTCATACAGAAAAACAGAACAAAACAAACAAACAAACAAAAAACGAGCGACATAGACAAAAAAAAATCTAAAAAAAAACAACAACAACAAAACGAACGAACGAGATAAAGGAAAAAAGATAAACGTTGATAAAATAAAAATAGAACTAAAAAAAAGGTGCACAGCTATAGAGTAAAAGACCCCCAGGGATAGGAGACCGCTGAATGGGCCAAAAATGGAAGCGTTTTCCTTATGCGGAATCTCACAACATACTGGTTTTGACCCGACATTGAGGAAGCAGAGTGGTCGCCCGGAGCTCTGTGCAAGAATACGGAATTGTGTTGCATTTTGGGAGCTTTGCGTTATGATGCAGATTTTTATTTATTTTATTTATTTATTTTTTTACTCTAGAGTGGGAGTCATTCATGGATTATCTGGTTTATTTGTTGTTGTTGTTGTTACAAATTCTATGATGATAGTAATCGTCATTCTTATCATTATTACTATTTATTATTGTTGTTATTGTTTGTTATTGTTATCATCATCGTCGTCTTCATTATCATTTTATTATTGTTGTTGTCCTTGTCAATGTTTCAATTATCAATATCGTCATTATCATTGTTTCAATTATCAAAGTTATCATTATCATTGTTGTTACTATTATCATTATTATCATTTTATAATTATTGTTGTCTTAATCATTATTTCCATTATCAAAATTACTATTATCATTACTGTTATCACTATCATCACCATCAGTTTATAATTATTTATCATTGCTATCATTGCAATTATTGTTATTTATCATCGTTATTATTTGGGGCAATAAAGATCATTATTACAATTATCTATTATCCGTTTATAAAGGAAGAAGAAAAAATAGAAAAAAAATAACAATAAGAATAAAAAAGAAATACAAAGCAAAAAAGGAAAAAAAAGAAGAAAATACGCAACGACCATACGGAAAACACGAATAAGATAGAATTTAAGCAGAAATCCGACGAAGAAAGCCGAACGGAAAGAGGAATAAGAGGAACGAACGAGGAGAGAGAGAGACGCAAGGCAAAACAGGCAGGTCTTTCAAGCGGTCAGTGTGTGTATTCCTCGTTGGACTCATTTCGCCTCCATTACCGTGGTCAGCCACCCGTGAGCTCTCGGTCTCCCCCCCCCCCTACTTCTGCTTCTCCTCCTCCCCCTCCCCCCCCTGCTTCTCCTTCTCCTCCCTCTTCTACTTCTGCGTCTCTTTCCTCCTCCTTCTACTCCTTTCCTCTCCTCTGCTTCTTTTTTCTTCCCTTTCTTGTTCTGATTTTTCTACTGTTTCTTCTATCTCCTTCTGTTTTTCCTTCCTCCTCTCTCTTGCGTTTCCTTCCTCTTCCTCCTGTTCTCTTTTTCTTCCTTTGTTCCTTCCCATTCTTTCCTCTACTCCCTTCTTCCTTTCCCATTCTTTCTTCCTATCTTTTTCTTCTCTTTCTTCCTTCCCTCCATCTCTCTTTTTTCCCTGTCTCTACTTCCCGTTCCTTTCCTCTTTTCCTTCACCGTCCTCCTTCCCGCTCCCCCCCCCCCCTCCCTCCTTACCCCTTTTTCTTTCCCTTCCCCCGCCTCCCTCCCCTCCCTACTACGCTCTCTTCCTCCCCCTCCCTCCCCTCCCTACTACGCTCTCTTCCTCCCCCTCCCTCCCCTCCCTACTACGCTCTCTTCCTCCCCCTCCCTCCTCCCCACTCTTCCCCCCTCGCCCCCCCTTCTCCCTCTCAGTTGCGGAACTAAAGTCTTTTTACAGCACATTTTGAAGTTATTTTTACCAGTTATTTACTGAAAAAAGAGTAAGTCATGTATATATTAATATTTACCTGTCTATATACAAATATATGTACACACGTACACACAGGAAAGATGACTACGCACACGCGCGTGCGTGCGTGCGCGCGCGCGCGCGTGTGTGTGTGTGTGTGTGTGTGTGTGTGTGTGTGTGTGTGTGTGTGTGTGAGAGAGAGAGAGAGAGAGAGAGAGAGAGAGAAAGATAGATAGATAGATAGATAGAGAGGGAGAGAGAGACCAAACACACTCAAAACACCAATAACAAATTCAGTATTATCCTACACTTAACATGACCTTAAAGACATATCCCTAAATCTAATATCACATCGTATTTTACAGAGGAACCTGCATACCTGTCTCCCCCCCCACCCCCCCGTCGGCTATCAGCAACCGCAAGTCAAGACAATTGCATAGGTAAGTACAATTGCGTCTTTAAAGGAGGTACTATTAAAAAAAAGTGTGAGGTTTGTGTTATTTGGATGTTTCATGTTTTAATGACTCTCTTGGATTTGGGAGAAAGGGGACAGGGAGGGAGAGGGAATGGGGAGAGGGAAAGAAGGAGGAGGGAATGAGGGGGGGAGAGGGACAGAAGGAAGAGCGGGATGGAAGAAGGAAAGAGAAGGAAGGTGAAGGGAAGGAAGGGATGGAGAGCGAGAAGAGAGGCAGGAGGGATAAAAGAAGGAGAAGGAAATAAGGGAATGGGAGAAACAAACAAATAAACAAGTAAGCACACCCTCAGACACACATACACACAAACAAACAAATGCACACACACACACACACACACACACACACACACACACACACACACACGCACACGCACACGCACACGCGCACACACACACACACACACACACACACACACACACACACACACACACACACACACACACACACACACACACACACAACACACACACACACACACACACACACATAACAACAAAACAGACAAACAAACACACAAGAGAAACTGCCATTAATATCCTAAGCAGATGTGAACGAACAGCAAGACATTTGTAAGATGTATTATTTCCTTCATCCACGAGAACAACTGGACGATGTGAAAGTGAACAGGCAAGAACAAGGAATAAAGATGAGGTGTAGGAGAAAGGAGGAAAAGGAGAAGGAAAATATTACGATTCATAAGACGTAGGAAGAGAGGAAGAGGCGAGGGAATGTATCGCGATAGTGAAGGTTATGCGAAGAAGAAAAAAAAGAAATGAGGAATAGAAAAAAGATATATATGAAGGAAAATGAAGGAATATTTTGTTGAAATATATATATTTTTTGAAAGTCAAATGCAACATGTTACTATATAGTAACAGCGAATTCGTTAACAGCAATGGTATACAAATATGACCTAAATAAATAGAAGACTGAAAGAAAATCGTTATATCTTATTTTTTCAGAAATATCGTCCTCATAATCTCCATCTATATATTCTAATGAAAGCTTTATTAACATGGTCTACGTTTCAGATATACTCTGCCGTTGGTCGGACTGTGTGGTTTGATTTTTTTAAATTTTGAATTTCAAATCTCAACCGCCAGATTCGCGTAACATTAGCAGACCGTGCAAGCCAGTAGAACCGTCTTTGGTTGACCGCGAATTCGGTTGGGGGGGGGGGGAAGCACCATTATTCACTTACTCTCATATTCATTCACTTACACACTCGCTAGCTCTCTCGGTCACTCGTTCAGTGATTCAGTTGCTTACATACGTTTTTTTTTCTGACGCTGCTTCTCTCCATCTCTCTGTCTCTCTATTTTTTTTCCACTCTTTCTCTATCCCTGTCTGTCTGACTCTCTCTCTCTCTCTCCCTCCCCCATCTCCCAAACACACAACAACCCTCACGTTTCGAAAACAGAATAACATTTACCCTTCACCTTCCCCACCTCCCCTCCCTCAATACCCCCCACTCAACCTTCTCCCCCTCCACCTCCCCCCTACTCAACCTCCTCTATGCATCCCCCCCCCACTCAACCTTCTCCCCCTCCACCTCCCCCCTACTCAACCTCCTCTATGCATCCCCCCCCCACTCAACCTTCTCCCCCTCCACCTCCCCCCTACTCAACCTCCTCTATGCATCCCCCCCCCACTCAACCTTCTCCCCCTCCACCTCCCCCCTACTCAACCTCCTCTATGCATCCCCCCCCCACTCAACCTTCTCCCCCTCCACCTCCCCCCTACTCAACCTCCTCTATGCATCCCCCCCCCACTCAACCTTCTCCCCCTCCACCTCCCCCCTACTCAACCTCCTCTATGCATCCCCCCCCCACTCAACCTTCTCCCCCTCCACCTCCCCCCTACTCAACCTCCTCTATGCATCCCCCCCCCACTCAACCTTCTCCCCCTCCACCTCCCCCCTACTCAACCTCCTCTATGCATCCCCCCCCCACTCAACCTTCTCCCCCTCCACCTCCCCCCTACTCAACCTCCTCTATGCATCCCCCCCCCACTCAACCTTCTCCCCCTCCACCTCCCCCCTACTCAACCTCCTCTATGCATCCCCCCCCCACTCAACCTTCTCCCCCTCCACCTCCCCCCTACTCAACCTCCTCTATGCATCCCCCCCCCACTCAACCTTCTCCCCCTCCACCTCCCCCCTACTCAACCTCCTCTATGCATCCCCCCCCCACTCAACCTTCTCCCCCTCCACCTCCCCCCTACTCAACCTCCTCTATGCATCCCCCCCCCACTCAACCTTCTCCCCCTCCACCTCCCCCCTACTCAACCTCCTCTATGCATCCCCCCCCCACTCAACCTTCTCCCCCTCCACCTCCCCCCTACTCAACCTCCTCTATGCATCCCCCCCCCACTCAACCTTCTCCCCCTCCACCTCCCCCCTACTCAACCTCCTCTATGCATCCCCCCCCCACTCAACCTTCTCCCCCTCCACCTCCCCCCTACTCAACCTCCTCTATGCATCCCCCCCCCACTCAACCTTCTCCCCCTCCACCTCCCCCCTACTCAACCTCCTCTATGCATCCCCCCCCCACTCAACCTTCTCCCCCTCCACCTCCCCCCTACTCAACCTCCTCTATGCATCCCCCCCCCACTCAACCTTCTCCCCCTCCACCTCCCCCCTACTCAACCTCCTCTATGCATCCCCCCCCCACTCAACCTTCTCCCCCTCCACCTCCCCCCTACTCAACCTCCTCTATGCATCCCCCCCCCACTCAACCTTCTCCCCCTCCACCTCCCCCCTACTCAACCTCCTCTATGCATCCCCCCCCCACTCAACCTTCTCCCCCTCCACCTCCCCCCTACTCAACCTCCTCTATGCATCCCCCCCCCACTCAACCTTCTCCCCCTCCACCTCCCCCCTACTCAACCTCCTCTATGCATCCCCCCCCCACTCAACCTTCTCCCCCTCCACCTCCCCCCTACTCAACCTCCTCTATGCATCCCCCCCCCACTCAACCTTCTCCCCCTCCACCTCCCCCCTACTCAACCTCCTCTATGCATCCCCCCCCCACTCAACCTTCTCCCCCTCCACCTCCCCCCTACTCAACCTCCTCTATGCATCCCCCCCCCACTCAACCTTCTCCCCCTCCACCTCCCCCCTACTCAACCTCCTCTATGCATCCCCCCCCCACTCAACCTTCTCCCCCTCCACCTCCCCCCTACTCAACCTCCTCTATGCATCCCCCCCCCACTCAACCTTCTCCCCCTCCACCTCCCCCCTACTCAACCTCCTCTATGCATCCCCCCCCCACTCAACCCCCTCTCTCAGTAGCCGGGGTGAATATTTCTTTTTCGTGTTTTTTCCTTTTTTTCGTTTTCTTAAAAATGAGGTGACGGTGATTATAATGGCAATGGAAGCAAAAATAATGATGGTGACGGTATTAATGATAACGATCATAGTGTCGACTGTTATGAAGGTGATAACGATGATAATAATAGTGACGTTATTAGTGATAACGATGATAATAATGATGACGTTATTAGTGATAACGACGATAGTGACACTTGTTATGAAGATGATAACGATATGGATGATAGTGACAAACATTACGAAGATGATTACGACTGTAATAATGGTGACAATATTAATGATAGGGATGATAGTGACACTGTTCATGATACAGGCATTAGAATGGTAATGATACCAATGACATGATAATTCAGCTTATCCGTTTATTACTTTCTCAATTTACTTTCTCTTTGTCGTTTTTAGTCTCATCGTGACATTTATTAATTTAACTGCTATATTTATTGGATCATTGAGATTCACTGTGCTTCCTTTTCCGTTATAAAACTGGTCGTAACAACAGTTATAGATCTAAAAACGATAACATTTACGATAATAGCAATGCAACACAATTACTTGCTTTGTTGCGCTTTTATTAATTTTACTATCATTATTACTGTTATCGCTATTAGCGATACTGGTGTTGGTAGTATAATTAGTAATGTTATAATCAACTGCAGTAGTAGCAATAGTGTAAATAGTAGTAGTGGTAGTAGTAGCACTAACAGCAGTACATAAAGTAGCATCAATAACAGTCGTAGTAGTAGTAATAGTAGTTGTAGGAGTAGTAGTAGTAGTAGTAGTCGTAGTAGTATCATCAGCAGCAGTAGCAGTAGTAATAGTAGTTGTAATGGTAGTAGTAATAGTAGTAGCAGTAGTTGTTGTTGTTGTTTTTGTTGTTAGTAGTAGTTGTAGCAGTAGCAATAGTAGCTTTACTACCACCAGTAACATCAGCAAATTACACATTACAGCAGTCATAGGAGCAGCAACACTAACCACAAATGATTATCTCAGTATCAAAAAAAGCAGACAGAAACAACGACAGCACTACCGCAAAAATACAATTGGACCGACATAAGTACAGTTAACCTTCTCGCTCAATACCCCCTCTGGCGTGAGTCCCAAAAATCAAGGGTCATGTTGGTTCGTTTGGCAAGGACTGCGTGTTAAAGGATGCTTAAAATCCCATAACGATGTAATGAGCTACGCGGAGGTATGGTTAGTTAGGGAGTGTGTGTGTAAAGAGGATTATTGAAGACTTCGTATTTGCAATAGTTTGTTGGGATAAATGGAATTAAGGATTTGGTGTTTAAGAAGGATTATATAGACGCTTGGTATCCATACTTGGGATAGGCTATGGAATGCTTAAAGAGGATTAAAGCTTTAGGTATCTTAAATAGAATGTTTAGACACGCGGAAGGGGATGTTAAGGTAAGGATTTTGTGCCTAAAAAGGATCCTAAAAACTCGATATCCGTAACAGTCGGATGAGCGAGAAGGAGGGACGGTGAATAAGGCATTATGTGTTTAAAAGGGATTAAAATAAGGGATAAGGAATTGAGTGTTTAAAAGGGATTAAAATATTTTGGTATCGGTAATAAGACAAACGAAGGGGAAACTGAAGGAATAAGACAAAGTATGAAGGAATAAGACAAGGA